GCACTAAGAATATTACTTACATTGCTGGTTTCAGTTGCATTTGGTGAAAGGTCCTTTTCAAAATTAAAAATTATAAAATAAAACTATTTATGATTAACGATGCACCAGCAAAGACTAAGTAATTTAGCTATAGTTTCAATTGAACACGAAATTTTAGACAGCTTGGATAAAAGAAAATTGATAGCAGATTTCGCAAACATAAAGGCAAGAAGAGTTCAATTTCTATAGGTAAATATTTATATGGTTTTACACCTAAGTAAACAAAAATAATTTAGTAATAAAAATAAATAGTTTTTCTTTGTAAAGTATTTCTTTTCTTTTTTCACACCCTTATGAGACAACACTAAAGAACCTTTCTGGCAAACTCAGCGTAGGTAGTCGTAGTTAAACGGGGGCGGCATAATCGGTATTGCACACGGGCGTTCAAACAGCTAGCGGCGCTTCTGCTTATAGCAGGGCCCATTATGGGTTCGGTCAGGCCCACAATGGGGCGACCGGGTGGTGAGGGACAGGCTTGACATATCCGAACGGACCACCCTCCGAAAAATTCCTGGGTATTCCTTGACCCGTCCGGATTCGATCCCGGGTCCCCCAGAGCGGTAGGCTGCCACCTTGACCGCGCGACCATCTGGCCTGTAAGGGTTCGGCCAGGTGGTGAGGGATGGGTCCGACATATCTGGACGGACCACCTCTGAAAAATTCTTGGGGATTTTCCGATTGATGGCTTCTTGGCCATCCGACCGTCAAGAGGCCGTCAATCAAAAAGTATACAATAAGATGAACGGACTGAAAAGGAAAGTGAAGTATTTATAATACTATTAAATAGAATAATTTTGAAAAGTAAAAAAAAAAATGTAAAATAATTTTTATATTAAATAATTTACGAATTATTTAAAAAATTTTCTGCTAGACATTTTACTCGGAAACATTTTGATCTGGCAACACTGCAGAATATTTTTCATATGGAAGTAATTTTGTTGTTTTAGACAAAGTAAGTTTTTTCTTCTGTAATATTGCGGTTCTTTCTAACAAATTTACGACTTTCTGTTCGATACGATTATATTTCTGAGGAAAATTCTTTAAATTGAAATGCTGCTAACTTTAAAATTATTTGAATTCTAAAATATAAAATAAATTTTGTTGATACAGAATTTTTATTGTAAAAAGAACGAAATATTAGGATAGACCCACATTAGTAAAGATTAGGTAATGCTGTATAAACCATATACCAACGTTTCCTCTATTAATTTTATTTACAATAGAGACATACATGCTACACATGTCCAAAACACATAGAATATATTAGTGGTTTACATTGATAATTCTACATATAGTATGACGCATATTGCCATTTTAACAAAGTCATTCTCTGAACTAATTCGCTCTGGCTGGATGGCTGAGATAGTTAATGTGTCGGCCTACTGCTCGGGTGGAAGTAGGATCAAATCTGTGTGGTTTAAAAACCCCAAAAATATTTTGGAGGGGTGGTTTGTCCCGGTATGTTGGCCCTGTCCTTTGCTACCTGGTCAATTTGTTATTAGCCTGGCTGAACCCATAATGGCTTGAGAAAAAAGCCTTCTTAGTTTTCATACACTGGAAACATACATAGACTCCATATTGATAAATTAATATATATTTTTAACTGTTTAACATAGGTAATCCAGAACATTCCATTCATAATCATAACAGTCCTTGAATCTTGGCATCATGATCAATATATTTTCTATTACTGATTGTTATAGAAACCAAATCTTGTAAGTCTTAATTAATTTGGAACATTTTTGATTCAACTTCATCCAATAACTTTTGTAATTTTTAGAACAACAGATGGAAGAAATATTTAAATTCAAATTTAATTATATTATACTATTAGTAAATATTTCTGAATGGTGTTATATAAACTATATGCTTATAATTTGTTATCACATAAAATTCAACTATTACAGTGCAGGCTTTAAGTGCACAAAACTTTGAATATAAGTAAGTAAATAAAATCAAAATGCAAAATTTGTGCTCCATTTTTGTGGAGTACAAATTTACATAAAATTTTGTTTTATGTAACCCCCGTGTAAAACAATACTATATAAATAATAACATCTCAAAGCCCAAGTAGTATACAATAAATCACCAAATATTAGATATTTAGGTGATTGTTTGGTGATTTATCAACACTATAGTTTAATATAATCTTACTGAAATTTTAGCACCTGATTTAATTAAAGTTTAGCCTTAAAAATAGTTTACAAAAATATTCAGAAGTTTATTTTGAGTTGTTTAGTGTATAATTCAGATTATAATTTATTTTTTTCATATGTAGACATTCTAAGAGTATTGATTTATCTGTTTTGTCTTTGCAGGTTTTTATTGCAAATTGAATTTGAAGGACGCATGAAAATTTGAAGATGTTTAATGGAAATAAATTTATAATTTTTGAACAAGTTTTAGATAATAATACTTACTTTTAAATCAGAATTTGGAAAATATTATAGTAACAGTATATACAAATTATGCAATTAGTTTGTTTACTGAAATGCAACATGATATATGAATTATAGTTTTGACTTATGAGTTATTGCATATTGAAATTTGTAAATTATTAATGAAATTTAAAAATAAAGAAAAATCAACAAATGGAAAAAACTTATTGAAGATTATGGCTACTAGAATAACATTTTGGCTGAATTTATGAAAAACTTTCTAGGAAATTGTGCAACTGTATCAGAAAAGAAATTTGTCAAAGTAATCCATTGATCAAGATACATATCATATGGTAAAATTAGATAATTATTCTTTACTTATTTTTGTTGAGTTATATTTTGATATTTAATGCATGATGAAATAATTATTAATTTTTAGACACATTTTTTCTACCTAGAGTTTATTTATTTCTGAGATTATTTGATGATTATACTCCTAATATTTCTCTCATATATGTTAATTTTCCAATTATACTTTTAATCTTATAAAACAAAGACGTTTATACGTTAGTAAATTGTAGATATTTATTTCTGAGATTATTTGAAATTATTTCTTTTTATAAATAATTGAAGTTTTAACGATGTTTATGCATTAAAACTTCAATTTATCTGAAGTGCTTCAAATAGGAAAACGAAGAAATGCTTGAAGATGTTTTTCAGAAAATTTCAACGAGAACACTTCAAAAGCTAACGATTTTGCGATTATACCAATTAAATTTTCTTTCAGACGAATATAAATAATTTAAAATAATCGGATAAGCTTTTGATGTTTGATTCTTCAATTAAACGAAAGTATTTTTGTTTACTATTNGTCCAGTGGCGTAGCGTGGGTGTCAGCCGCCCGGGACGGAGGAAAATTTCGCCGCCCCCTTATTTAGGTATCTCAATTTAAAAGACTAAAATTCAGTTTCTTCACAGAATAAGTAACGAAAAATTCCGTGCTAGTGTTGTCACCTTTTTAAAATCGCCGACCCTGACGGCAGGTGAGGTTTGTTCGAACGGAAGTTCCTGACGCATGGGTATATCATTTTGCAATGAAGAAAGGAATAACGTAAGTAATCTAGATGACTTAGCCGTATTGGATATTGGAGGTGTATATGATACGAATGAATCGTACGGGTAAAAAGAAAAGATAAAAAAAAAAAAAAAGTCAACAGGTCGCGCACGATATCCCCAGACGGCGAGTCGATTCCCGGACTATCCGGATGGATGGTAACACTTCTGTGCTCATTTCAATCGGTCCGAGTCGTAGGTGGACGAAAATATGAAATAAAACGGTTCAAATTCTTACAAGATATTATTATTATTTATTGTGAAATTTTGCCGCCCCCTAAAAAGTGCCGCCCGGGGCGGGCCGCTACGCTACTGCTAAGAGGACCTCTTTTAGCAAGCCCATTTTGGGTTAGGCCAGGTTTTTTTTTTTTTTTTACTCTTTTCGCCCTGTGGGCACTAAGAGGGCCTCTTATAGCTAGGCCCGCCGTAAGCGGGCGTGCAAGGCGTGCACTGCAAGCGGGCGGCACGTCCAGGGGGGCGGCAATTACAATATCTTTTTACTAATGACTTAATTTCAATATTTCCAAACACTGCAATAGCACTAAGAATATTACTTACATTGCTGGTTTCAGTTGCATTTGGTGAAAGGTCCTTTTCAAAATTAAAAATTATAAAATAAAACTATTTATGATTAACGATGCACCAGCAAAGACTAAGTAATTTAGCTATAGTTTCAATTGAACACGAAATTTTAGACAGCTTGGATACAAGAAATTGATAGCAGATTTCGCAAACATAAAGGCAAGAAGAGTTCAATTTCTATAGGTAAATATTTATATGGTTTTACACCTAAGTAAACAAAAATAATTTAGTAATAAAAATAAATAGTTTTTCTTTGTAAAGTATTTCTTTTCTTTTTTCACACCCTTATGAGACAACACTAAAGAACCTTTCTGGCAAGCTCAGCGTAGGTAGTCGTAGTTAAACGGGGGCGGCATAATCGGTATTGCACACGGGCGTTCAAACAGCTAGCGGCGCTTCTGCTTATAGCAGGGCCCATTATGGGTTCGGTCAGGCCCACAATGGGGCGACCGGGTGGTGAGGGACAGGCTTGACATATCCGAACGGACCACCCTCCGAAAAATTCCTGGGTATTCTTTGACCCGTCCGGATTCGATCCCGGGTCCCCCAGAGCGGTAGGCTGCCACCTTGACCGCGCGACCATCTGGCCTGTAAGGGTTCGGCCAGGTGGTGAGGGATGGGTCCGACATATCTGGACGGATCACCTCTGAAAAATTCTTGGGGATTTTCCGATTGATGGCTTCTTGGCCATCCGACCGTCAAGAGGCCGTCAATCGAAAAGTATACAATAAGATGAACGGACTGAAAAGGAAAGTGAAGTATTTATAATACTATTAAATAGAATAATTTTGAAAAGTAAAAAAAAATGTAAAATAATTTTTATATTAAATAATTTACGAATTATTTTAAAAATTTTCTGCTAGACATTTTACTCGGAAACATTTTGATCTGGCAACACTGCAGAATATTTTTCATATGGAAGTAATTTTGTTGTTTTAGACAAAGTAAGTTTTTTCTTCTGTAAGATTGCGGTTCTTTCTAACAAATTTACGACTTTCTGTTCGATACGATTATATTTCTGAGGAAAATTCTTTAAATTGAAATGCTGCTAACTTTAAAATTATTTGAATTCTAAAATATAAAATAAATTTTGTTGATACAGAATTTTTATTGTAAAAAGAACGAAATATTAGGATAGACCCACATTAGTAAAGATTAGGTAATGCTGTATAAACCATATACCAACGTTTCCTCTATTAATTTTATTTACAATAGAGACATACATGCTACACATGTCCAAAACACATAGAATATATTAGTGGTTTACATTGATAATTCTACATATAGTATGACGCATATTGCCATTTTAACAAAGTCATTCTCTGAACTAATTCGCTCTGGCTGGATGGCTGAGATAGTTAATGTGTCGGCCTACTGCTCGGGTGGAAGTAGGATCAAATCTGTGTGGTTTAAAAACCCCAAAAATATTTTGGAGGGGTGGTTTGTCCCGGTATGTTGGCCCTGTCCTTTGCTACCTGGTCAATTTGTTATTAGCCTGGCTGAACCCATAATGGCTTGAGAAAAAAGCCTTCTTAGTTTTCATACACTGGAAACATACATAGACTCCATATTGATAAATTAATATATATTTTTAACTGTTTAACATAGGTAATCCAGAACATTCCATTCATAATCATAACAGTCCTTGAATCTTGGCATCATGATCAATATATTTTCTATTACTGATTGTTATAGAAACCAAATCTTGTAAGTCTTAATTAATTTGGAACATTTTTGATTCAACTTCATCCAATAACTTTTGTAATTTTTAGAACAATAGATGGAAGAAATATTTAAATTCAAAACAAATGAGTATTTTTAAAAAATGAAAAGGTGCAAGTATTTTTTGAGTTAGAATTCTGACATACAGAAGAAAGATTTAATTACTTTAACATGTTTAATATAAATATTTCACATATTTTCATCTTATGCAGAAGAGATGAATATACAAGATATGATCAAAAAGTTTGGGGACTAGGATCAGAAAGAATGTTAGAATCTGTAAGCAGAACTTGCAGGTTTGAGTCCTGCAAGTTCTGCTTACTGTGCAGATACTTTGCGAATTGTTAATATGACTCTATCATTTGATTATTATTATTATTATAACATAAGCTTGGTTTTCTATATATAAGGATTAGTAAAAAATTTCATGGAAAATACCTTTTAAAATTTCCACTTTGCAATAGTGTTTTTTCTGTGTTGGTAGAGGTCTCTGAATTTCAATGCAAGAATTTGTTTTGACAACATGGCGAAGTGCAATCATTCTACAAGTGCATCAGTCCAGTCTGTCTTGCCTTCCTTGACCAAACATGACGAGAATTGTAATTTTGTACAGTGTCGCTTGTTGGTGCACTCTCCAACAAGCACTTTATGAGCAAGCCTCATCTCAAACTACAGTGTACAAGGGGGAATTTGTGAATTGTGACTTCCAAATAACATGATTTCCAGTGCAAACTGGAAATTTGTATATAGTTANTACGGACTACGGCTGTTTGAAAGATTTTCTTCCATAAAATTAATCGATTCTAGACTAATCCGACTCAACATTTCCAAAATACGTATATATTTTTTGGGCTTACTGTGCAGATACTTTGCGAATTGTTAATATGACTCTATCATTTGATTATTATTATTATTATAACATAAGCTTGGTTTTCTATATATAAGGATTAGTAAAAAATTTCATGGAAAATACCTTTTAAAATTTCCACTTTGCAATAGTGTTTTTTCTGTGTTGGTAGAGGTCTCTGAATTTCAATGCAAGAATTTGTTTTGACAACATGGCGAAGTGCAATCATTCTACAAGTGCATCAGTCCAGTCTGTCTTGCCTTCCTTGACCGAACATGACGAGAATTGTAATTTTGTACAGTGTCGCTTGTTGGTGCACTCTCCAACAAGCACTTTATGAGCAAGCCTCATCTCAAACTACAGTGTACAAGGGGGAATTTGTGAATTGTGACTTCCAAATAACATGATTTCCAGTGCAAACTGGAAATTTGTATATAGTTAATTGGGGCCTCTTACCCCCTAAGCTTTCCATATCTGGTCTTTGCTTTCATCTATCTAATACTGTTTTTGAGATTAAGGAAGGACAGACAGATGGACAGCAGTGGGAATTTATAGGTCTATAATTGTTTCAAATTACAGCCCAATAAAACTAAACTCTGTTTTTCTTCATAATGCTTCAATGGTGATATTACAGTTAATTAGTTACATGTAAACAACAACTCCACAAACCCAATTTTTGATTTATTATAATTATTAAAATTATTATTATTACAGAAATTGTTTTTAGCCCTAAGTATAATTAAATTAATTAAAATATCTATAACTGTAAGGCAGATAATAGTAAGGGCTTATCACACCAATGATAATGGGCACAAATGCTCAAGAATCAAAGTAAAAACATTTAATAAAACAAAAAGGGGTGTACAATAAGATGATTACATAAGTATAAAAACCGTAAAAATCCAAAATGCATTTCGGACTATTTTCCAATAGGAAAATAGTCCCTCATCAGTTGGTATTAATGAGAGGTCTTAGTATACTTAAAAATTATACAAGGAGAAAAAAATTAAATTTAAAATTAAACTTAAAACTATGCCTAAAGCTATACAATATAAAGATGAAAACAACACCATGACTGTATGAGCAGTAAGCATTGTCAATGTAGACAGGAGTAATATTTATTCCTAACTTTGCATGGTAACATGACGATCAGGGTGCTGATACAAAAATAGTTGAGAGTTAGCCAAAATATTGGTTAACAGTTATGAACTAATGTTACACAGTCAGTTTAAATTATTTAAATACCAAAAAACAGTAGGACAACAGAGTTGCAGGTTCAGGCATTTCTACAAGATGCAGGGAGCGGTTACAAAGGAGGTGTGTTACCTTACACATCTGGAGCACAAGTGGTGACAACATATGATGCAGCCAGATGTCACTGTTAATTTTATCTATTTTAACTTTTAATAGATGAAGGCCCATGCACAAATATCAATTCAGATCTAGGCAAATTAGTCTTTAAGTGTAACATTGTCATTACAGAAATTGAGCGTTCTTGAGCGTTTGTGTTCATTATCATTGGCGTGATAAGCCCTTCCTATTATCTGCCTTATGGTTATAGTTATTTTAATTAATTTAAGTAATGTGTTCTGTTTTTTACTATAACTCAATATTCTGTTATAGGTCGACCTCTAAACTCTTTTTCTTTTCCTGTCATTCACTCAATACCTTTATTCAACCTGAATGTCTTAATACAGTAGAGCGTCGATTATCAGAATCAATTGGGGACTGGGGTTGTTCGGAATCGATGTTTCGGATAACCGATTATGTACGAAAAAATATATTAATTTATCTTATCTTGACATTTTTCTCCGTTGCGTGTCGCTTCGTGTTGAATTTTCGTCGATATTAAGCCTAACGAAGACTATCGTATCGTTAAAAATTATTTTTTATTTTGTACAAACAAAATAAATATATTGAAAAATGTAAAAAGAATAAAAAATTATGCTTCAGAAGTTACTTTAGTATCAAAAAAATAAAATATTTGAGTAGTCCAAAATATAGCCAAAGATTGCAGCGCCACATCACTGGCGAAAATTTAAATTTGCTCACTGGAATTCTTTCGAATGATTGACTTTCGGATAATCGACGCTCTACTGTAGATGTTTCAAAAGAAT